CAATTTGCTAAGATATTGCTCATGCAACAAATTAAACACAGTGGCACCCCGCCCACCTCTTTCCATTTTTGGAAACTCTCCTTTATATACACTTACCTCTATATATGACATGAATAACCAATCGGAAACCCAGAATGTCCCCTAGTGGCTTTCTCAGCAATTTTAACGGCCTTTGCTCCATTTCGTTTTTTGAACCAATATTTCAACGAGGTAGGGTGTGTCTTTAGTCCGCTCGAAATTTAATATTTTTTAGACTAAAATACATCTTAGTTACTAAGCTTTATAAATTATAATGGAATTTTATATTATTAATGTAGTAATTTATGATATTTTGGTTATTCAACTGTATATATAAAACCTAAAAAAATATTTTGTTTCATATCCTCCATGTGCAAAATTTTTAAAGTCTTTGCAACCTACGTAAAGCAGCAACCGAGTACAAAGGTTGTAACTAGAAGATATAATTATTTGCTTTAATTCTCTATTTACTGTTCTATGTTTAGGGAAAATTAATTTTAGAATTTATTTCAAAAAAGCAATAATCTATATACATATATTACGTATGATAATTGAAATGTGACTGTATTTTACAAAATACTAGTCTACTAAAACCCAGCCAAGACAAGTTACTTTGCATAGACGAAAGGTCAGTTTAATGTTGTTTGTTATAGTAACATGAGTACACGTGAGCGCGTCATTGTGACTTCTGTATTATTAGCCAGGCACGGCTGAAAGTTTAATATAATAAAAATAATAAATTTTTATAAACGTATAATGTTATGATATTTAAACTATTTAGTCTAAACATTTATGTTTTCGTGTTATAATTTGTGTTCATTCTAGAATGAAGGAGGCATAATTTATATTTATTTCCTAATTTTGTATGGTGGTTGCGAGATCGGTCAAATTTACCGAGCCGTACGGAAATTAAAATTCACAATAATTTATTGCATAAGTTACAAGTAAAATATACAATTAAAAACTCTACGTGTTTAGGTGGAAAAGTTTCCACCATCTTCAGGAGACCAGAAGAAACACAAGAAATTACATTTTTTATTCTTAAATTATTGTGCATTTTTAAACGTTGAATGTTCTTACTTATTTCATGAAATCTATGCACAATAATTGTCATATATGAGCAGTTGTTGAGAAAATTTATTTATGAAAATCTACCTTTATTACTTCTTGGAATATAGGAAGAAATCAACAATATCGTAGCTCATCTGGCATCTCTGGATGGTACTGTTTGTGATGTTCGAGAAATCCTAGTTCCAAGTATGTCTAACATAATTTCAGCATTTATCTTTGGTCGGAGATTTCACTATGATGACCCAAAAAGAAAATATCTAGATGATAGACTCACTGAATTTCAAGAGTACATCCGACAGTTTAACCTGAAAACCTTCTTTCCCTGGATGAAACCCTTTCTGTCCATTTTAAAAGCTAGAGAATTTAGAAAATTTCAAGAAACGACTGAAAATTTGTTGTCATTCATTCGGTAAGTAACTTTTGCATTGAAATTAAACATTTATTATTAGAAATATGTTCTGTATCATGTGTGACGACATAACACGTTAAAGCTCTCTGTCATTTATTGCATACATGGAATTAGTGATAAGTTTACGGATTTACAATGCTAACACCCGGGGATCGATTCCCAGCGGTAGACATAGGAGACATCCCAATGTTGATTTGCTCTAAAACAAACAAACAAAGAAGTATGCATGCATTGTATACTAGAATTCTACAACACATAAGAAATCCGTATACTTCAATATTAAAGAACAATTCTATTACCGTAGTTGTATTAAACCCAACCAACAGGAGTAAGCTAGAAGTTTAAGTAGTTAGGAAATCATTTGTCAGGCACGCCGCCAGAGGGCGATACACGTGTGTCAACCTCAAGCAATGTGGAAGGGGGGTCGAGACGATGATTTCATACTCACATTAAGTGTCTCGATAGGGCGCGTTGGTAGGACAGACAAGAGACAAATAGTCTTGCAAGGTGTGACGTGATAGTTCAACTAAGTGAAACCTGGCACCATGACAGGCTAAAGTTTTCATGACAACGGAAGATGTCCGGAAAACTTGTTTGTAGTTCCATGAAGTTTAACCAGAAAGCGTAATTTTATGATGTAGATTATTTAATTATGTTATAAGTAAAACCATAATTTTAACAACAATCTTACTATTTCATCAGCTTGGATTTATGCTAGCCATATAACTATGATTGTTATTGTTTTTTTACAATATATATATATATATATATTTCATTTTAGACATTTTTACAAAGGCGGATGGTGTTTATGTAGGCAGATAGTGTTACTATAAGCGGATGCTGCTGCTAGACAAGTTGTATTACTAAGGGTCTACAGGCAGATGATCTTACTAGACATAATGTTGATTTTCCAATTTTGCTTTATAAGTCAAACATTAAACACCTTTTACATAAGCAGAGAATGTTACTAAGGGTAGTGTCTGTGTAGATGTATTGTGTGTGTATTACAAAGGTATTTCTATATTCCGTGGGATAGCATGCAGGTTTCAACATATCTTATTTTTCATTTACTTGTAATTCTATAGGACAGTATTGAAATACATTATGTTTATTTTGTATAATACCAATGGCTCAGTGGAGTAGTAATTGTGGAATATTTAAATATGCAATCATATGACCACATAAATAAAACAACTCTCTATAAAGAATATAAATAGGACACTCAACAAAATAGCTTATGGATCACATGATTGCACATTTTGAAAATATTCGCCCCAAAGTATACACTCGTAACCCACGTCTATTACTTTTTATACACACACATATATAATCCAGGTCAAAGGAACTATCTAAGAAATGACACTAAAGAATAAAAAACTGTGACTAACACTTTTACCTTTGTTCATTAGTCACCTAACTACTATTGAGAAAAACAAGTAACGTGTTTGTTTCTAAAAAATGAGAGACAAACCACAAATTCTATTTCTGTAGCTTTCAATTTTCTTATGATAAAAGAAATATCTTTTCTTTCACAGTTAATAAATCTAACATGTTTACTGTCTGTCACAACAGAATATACTGTTACGACCGCGGAAGTCACGCGACTCAGGGAGCATGCGTGCTGTAGTATCTCGAAAT